TGTTGAGTTTGTAGGTGTTCAGAATGGTTTGATCCCTATCCAGCTGAATTCCTGAGAGGAGACGAAATCCAGGTCTCCTACTCCTCCGCCATCTTGCTCCACCCCCCCCTAAGTAAAGTTTTAATGGAGTATATTTTATAGTTAATTCTATCCTTATTAAATATGATTTCACAGTTTTATTTTTGTGAATAAAGGATGCTAATTTTTTTCTAAAATCATCTAGGTCGATCACAGAAAAAGTGTCTAAGCAGGTGTTTTATCTTACAGAGAGATGCTACGAGATCCAGAAATGAGAAATAAATTAATTTCTAACCCAACTAATTTCAACCACATAGCACACATGGGCCCAGGAGATGGGATACAGATACTAAAAGACCTGCCAATGGTAAGAGAAATGAAGGGAGAATGGGAACGGGGTTACGAGTAGGGCAGAGGGGGAGAAAGCATACATGTGTGCCTAAATCCATATGTAGACTTAAGAAGATATGTTAGTATGATGACGAGATGTTTGTGTCCATACATCATAATATGTGTAAGATGCATGATGAGAAAAACACAACATTTGGGCATCTATGAGAAACCAGACAGATCCAGTTCTTACTTAGTTGCACACCCCATAAACTTGTCCCGTATCCAGACTTACTGTTGGTGGTGGAATACACTGCCAGATTTGGAGAGGATCTGTACCAAGACTCAGAACTTGCTCATGAAATCACCAACATTTTATTATGTTTTAGCAATTCAATGCAGATATTTGGCCTTTTTTACCCCCAGAGAACCAGGTTAGGTTGGTCATTAATGGCCACACCTCTTACCTGGTTGGGCAAGCAAACCTTTTTCCTCTCCCCAGTTACAAACATGTTGCCCTGTCTGTCTCCCACACAAAAATTGACAACACAGGAAAACTTGTTTTTCACATGAAGATTGAATTCTTGGACCCATTATGTTGAGATGAAGAATATTGGTAGAATTAGCTAATTTTCCAGGCTCTGTTTACACTTAACATTCCAGTATCACAATACCTCAGCAAATTTTTGAAACTTTCATAGGACCCCTTTGATCATGGGTGGTAGCGTTAGATTTGTGAATCTGGACCCAGAGCTCTTTCTGAGGGAGTCTTCCTCTTACCCCCACTACCACCACCAGCACTATCCTGCTGTGATAGAAGATACAAGGGTCTATCGCTGACAGAAAAAAATGCCAGGTAATATAGTTTTATGTGCAGTCAAGTTTTTTAAAATAATAAAATTAAGCTTTTGAAGGTAGTCCTGCATTTGTTTCACGGGAAGAACAAAAAAAAATCCGTCATTGAGTCTGAGTTCCTCACTGAAAATACCCCGATTAACCAGTTGACACTGTTTATGAACCAATACAATGCTCTTACTGTTATCACCGGGGCATTATGATGACCTAGTTATAGTGCTGTCCCCTCCTTTAGGGAGTTCAAATCATTTAAGAGTAGCCATTTATCCTCTTGGAATGGGGATTTTTATTAGCTGTGCTGGATAAATTATGAATAAAGTGTTCAAAATAGTAATTAAAACGAAGTAGAAAATCTAAGACTAAACATTAAATAATAAACTGTTACACTTACCTATCATATTAAAACTTACACTGGTTTTTCACCTTTTGCCTGGGAATGAGATTTCAGATTTCTCTCTACTGTTTGCTCATCCTGAGCATGTGTTTAAAGTTCTCAGGCTGGTTTTCCTTTATTCTCAAGTAAACATGATATAACCATACAGTCCAAACCCTCTGTCATTTTAGAGAGGATTTTTACATTTTGATAAGCATTGAAAATGTGAATACATGTTACAGATTATACTTGATAGCTCAAGGGCTAATGTACCATTTTAGTGAAAGTTTTAAGATTTTGGAGGGATAGAGGGATGCAGATTTCAAACATGCATATGTTGCAAAGCAATATATCAACAAATACAAAATTATTTCAGCAGTTAACAAGTTTTTAATACATATTATACTTTTTAAATTAAAATTTCTCTCACTTATGCTTCATTTTGGTGCACAAAAAAAGAATATACAGGGCGCCTGGGTGGCTCAGATGGTTAAGCATCTGCCTTCGGCTCAGGTCATGATACCAGGGTCCTGGGATCGAGTCCCGCATTGGGCTCCCTGCTCAGCAGGGAGCATGCTTCTCCCTCT